TTGCAACCGAACACGTTTGGATCCAAATTTACTTACACCCGTCTTTGTATTTATCCAATCCTCAGGGTGTCAAACTCCTAACATACTTGTACCAGCTTTGCTTGGAGCACTCTAGTTCCCAGTCCTACTCCATCCTGCTGTCTCTTCTAAAACACAGTGTGCAGCCGTACATCATGTAAGTTGTTAACCTTTTCACTACCAATAATGATTGGAATGCAATTTCTCCTGACGTTTTTAATACATAGTAAAATAACAGGTTGGGAGAAAAAGAATGCTATCCAACACCTTTGCGATGAGGTCTTGTTATAGCACCATATTCTCTAGATTATTAAGGAAACAATCGTTTGATATGGGGGCTAAAGCGTGTCTTTTGCTAACTGTGTCGCTGGTTTTGTAGTATCTTGGGGTGGCTGTCTCACTCAAAAATTTTCTCGAAGACTGTTGCCTTCTTTGTCTTATTATGAGGAATAGGGGAAATGAGGCAGGATCTCCAAACAAATTTTTTAGCTGAGGGAAGCGAGAAAAAGGGAACTGGATATCTTGTCAAAGGGCGTTTTCAGAGAACGCTTTTCGGTTGAGAATCGTTAAATTAAAACCAAGGTAAATAACAACAGATTTCTTTCAGAGCCAATTAGATCTCAAAGCAAAAACAACCAAGCTGCCCAAATCGCGAGAAAATGTGGGTGACCAAGTCGTATTGGTTTTAGTTGGTATCAGATTGGTTGAAAAGAGTGGCAACAGTTTTCTGGACCAATCACAGCGCGAAGTAAAAAAACCAATTCAATCCAGGATTACTTTCGATACTCAATTGAGAACTTCTCTATCACAAGAAAGGTGATAAAGCTTATAATTTGGACTTGTGGAGATTTGGACTGAAGGAAAAATTCTCACTGGTGACCTGTCATTTATGAAAGTACAGGAAAAGAAGCCTGAGAACTGTCGCAGTTGGATGAGGGGAAAATTTTTCTGGTTGCTTTGATGAACATCAGGTCTAAATGATCTCTAAATGATTATTAGGTTGTTGCTCTCCAATTCTGGAGATAAAGAAACGACAGATCGATCTTGTATAGCGTTTTTGAATTATTTTATTCGTTCACCTTTTTAGATTCATCCAAACCTGGGTTTTTAAGGGGATTTGTAATGATATGTTTGGCGAGTTCATGATTGAAATGGATGAACAATACTTAGCATACAGAGGTAAAAGTGTGAAGTTTTTATTTTGTTCAAGATAGATCATGTGAGGCCTTCTTAGGAATGTTGTATACATATACGCGATGTTTGTTTGTCCGTTTAGTCATTTGTTTTGTCGTTTCTCCTATTTGTTCCTTCAATTCTTCTTGCTTTCAACGGTCTTTCCTTTTTGTTCAATCCATCGTTCCTTCGTTCATTCGCTCCTTCGTACCTTCGTGCCTTCGTGTCTTCGTTCCTTCATTCCTTCGTTCCTTCGTTCCTTCGTTCCTTCGTGTCTTTGTTCCTTCGTTCCTTCGCTCCTTCGCTCCTTCGCTCCTTCGCTCCTTCGCTCCTTCGCTCCTTCGCTCCTTCGCTCCTTCGTACCTTCGTGCCTTCGTGTCTTCGTTCCTTCATTCCTTCGTTCCTTCGTTCCTTCGTTCCTTCGTGTCTTTGTTCCTTCGTTCCTTCGCTCCTTCGCTCCTTCGCTCCTTCGCTCCTTCGCTCCTTCGCTCCTTCGCTCCTTCGTACCTTCGTGCCTTCGTGTCTTCGTTCCTTCATTCCTTCGTATCTTCGCACCAACCATCGTCAATCTAAGA